CTGCTAAAAATCAACATTTTCCATGGCGGTGAGGGAACATTTTTGATCAACTCTGCTTACTTAATCAAAGATTTGATTGCGTGTATCATGTTCACAGGTATGACTGTCATACCTAGTATGAATTGATCTTGCTTTCTGGCAACCGACACTACCACAGCCGAATAGCAGAATCATTTTTTCTTTGTGTGGCTTTCAGTAGCATTTGTGATGTGGATGCCTAGTGAAAGGGCTGACTTTGGGAAGTGTTGACTTATGAGAGAATCTTTATTTTGCATTATTATTTTTATACAGTATAAAATGCAACAAAAACCATTTGGGCTCTGTTGTGGGTGCTATGGGGAACCGGACCTTTTAAGAGAGCCTGACAGGAGTTGCCTGTTAACGCTCATGTTGCATAATGCAGCAAAGCAGACGTCTGTCAGCATCCTTGGCTCCGAGTGAAAACTGAGCAATACGTCTTAAGAGGAGTACAGCAGAGTCGGAAAATACCCTGAGCGGAAGAACGGAGCAGTCTCACCAGAAGCATGGAGGGCAACAGGGGAAGTATGTCAGCAGCATTTCTCTTTCTTTGCAAGCAGCTGGGTGCCCGTGGAAAGTCAGCAACAGCTCAGATGTCAGGGAGGGCAGTTTGTGCCCCAAAGCTTGTCTGACATCTCTCCCAAATATAAGTTGATCCAACAAAAGATATTATTTCACCTCTCTAATCTTGCTTCTAGCAAAAGGGAAGATGTCACAAAGTAGCTTTATCCCTGACAAAAGCTCATGATTTTTTTTTTTTTGTTTGTTTGTTTTTTACACTTCTCATTTTAGCTCAGACCGAGGGAGGCTGACTTTGAAACTTCACTGGAGAAATATCAGGAGTCCTGCACCCCACTTATGCATTGAAAATGTTTTAAACAGAGAGTATCAAAAGAAGGTGAAAACACGTACGTGAGTCTGAAGAGCCAGTGCATCCATTGTGGAGGGCTGAGTCCCTGGGAACAGACTGAGTCAGGACTGGCACCTGGGACAGAAAGTTCAGAGGAAGACAACTGGGAGACCTGCAGTTAAGACTTGATAAAGCAATTAAATTTGCCAACCAGAAGAAATCACCCAGTGCAGACTGAAGCTCTGAGAAAATCCCAAATCCCAAAGAAAATAAACCAGAGGCAGGAAGGTAGGCTGAGGTCAGACTCTGAATCCAGCAACGCGCGAATCAGGACATGCTGGGGCAACTACCGCAAGCCAGTACAAAGCCAAACTTTTGGGAAAAGGTGTGTGACCTGCAATGGATTCTATCACTTTGGAAGAGTTTGCAAGTTCTAGCAAGATCTCATGGACTTCCCATTACTTCCCAAACAGAACTAATAAACTTAACCCGACCTGACAACCATGGCAGTGGTGGGGGAGATACACCCGGGAACACCCGCAGGATAGGGTGCTCCAACTACTTGAAGACAGCTAGTTATTTTAGGGTGCATGTAGACAAAATGGGGGCCCTAAATTGAAGTGGTGGGTTTTTAAAAACACTGCTTCAATTTAGAGCCCTTTAAACCCATGTCGTGCATACACCTGACTTAACCTGCCTCACCGGTGCCGGGGAGGGGAGGGGAGGGCGAGCCACCGGCAGGCGAAGCAGTCTGTGGGCTGTGGGGTTGTGGGCTGTGGGCTGGTGCTTCCCTCCATAGCAGCAGTGGACCCCCCGCAGGCGGCACCTGCCTGCAGGCACCTAGCTCTGACGGTCCCGGGGGGCACCGCAGCCGTGGAGGGAAGTACCGGGCTCCTGCACAGCTCAGGCAGGCAGGCAGGCTCCAGGGGGTGAGAAAAAAAAAAGATCAGGCTCGTTGCTTTTTTTTTTCTTCCTCTCCTGGGCAGAGCCTGCCTTCCCAGGCTGCTGCCAGGCTGCCTGCAGGGCTTCCTGCACAGCCCCTAAGCTGCATGGAGCCCGGTGCTTCACTCCGCAGCTGTAGGGCAGCAAACTAAAACTCCTCGGAGGAGGAGCCCCAAGTCATTTAAAGCACATTATGCTACCGAATTTGCTACAGTGGCTGGAAATAATGCGCAATACACAGCCGAGGTGTGCAAACACCAACACCATTAAAGCAGTGCAGAAGCACTTAGCAGGCTTTAAAGTGTCTGGCACACGTGCCCGTCATTTCATCTACACACAGCCTTAGCTAATAGAGTGGTTGTAAGTCTTTGAAATATGGGTTATGCCAATTTTGATTGCCAGTTGTCATCGTTATGTTTGGCTGGTAAATGGTAGTGTTAGAGGCCCTAGCCGTGAGCCAGTGGGAACCAGATGCTGCGGTCGACAGAGGCTCATCTTCCAGAAAATGTGGATCATTTTGTAGAATTCAGACACTGAATTCACTCCCCTGCCTCTGAGCGAACACTGAATGAGACGGGTGCTGTACAACACACAGTGGTTTACTATTCTTACCCCATGTCTCATCAAAAGATTTAAAGCAAGGTACCTTGCTAAATTAATGTCTGAGTAAAGGAAGAGAGGGAGGGCATAGAGATGAAGGAGGAAGACGGAAGCAAAAGGGGGAGGAAGAGAAAGGTGAACTCCCCTCTTTCATCTCTCCCTTGTCTCACTTTTCTATTATCCTACCCTCCACTTCCCCTCTTCTCCTTCATTTTTCCCTTTCCCCTTCCTCCCATTCTTTCTTTTGCTTTTCTGTGTCCCGTTCACATCTTCCCTTTTTGTCTTCTAATAACCTCAAGATCTTGAATAGTTTTCATTGATTTTCTTTTTTTATGATTAAATCCTCCTCTTGCAGCTGCCACTTGCCTCCCCTAACTTTCTTCTTTGCAGTGCCCATCTCCCCAGCCCTGCTTTATGTTAGTGATTGACAGGAGACACTGTTTTGGACAGCACTCGCTCTACAGAGCCAGGGACTAGCGGCAGTAGCCACCACTGCAATAAGAGATGGGAGAAAGGCACCAGAAAGAAAGAGTACAGAACCAAGACGCCACTGTACAAAGATTAAATTTGCTTCTTTAAACAGAAGTAGTAGGGACAGCACATATTGTACAAAGCAGGATCAGTGTCAAGCATTTATGGGTAATGCATTGCCTGTTCCTGTTTATACAATTAGGCTAACTGAGTTTCAATAGCAGCAGCTGTATAAAGCAGTTTTCTGATCCCGGGAAGGTCAGGGTGGAATAATGTTGCATTCAGTACTGGTTTGTAAGCTGCACTTTCATACATTGGACATAAAGTGATGAGGAATTGAATACAATGTAAAATCATTCGGTGACATTAATTCTGCAAATGCAGAACGGTTGTAGAAGTTCTGTTCGTATTGTCTGTGACAGCGAGGACTCAATACTTCCATTAGAGTCCATACCTTCAACAGTCATCGGATTAAAATCTTCAGCCAGGGGCTCTGGCAAAGGCATCGGACAGAGCTGAGATGATGAAAACCCTAGGCATTTTGGGAACAGCGCTGAACGGGGGCTCGTGTCACAACCGGTTCTGATCAAGGAGGTGACTTCGTTTGAGCTCCTTTTCTGCAGCAGCCAAGAAATCCTTGAGCGGGTCTGAAACTTGTTCCCGGCTTTTTGCTACGTGATCTCTCTCCGTCACCTGATGTGGGGCTGTTCAAGCAGGTCGTGAGCCCTTTGTAATTGTGGCGTTCCTCTTCTCCAGCCTTCAGGTCTCAGCCCTGCTCACATTTACCCACACCACCCCCCACACCGAAGATCACTGAATACATTTCCTTTTGCCCTCCAGTGGCTGAGTAAAATTACTGTCATCCTCAATCTCTCTTGAACTGCTGCAGTACTAGGGAGCTTTTCAGTACCTTCGATGTGTATGATGAAGCATCTGAGCCTCTCTATAAATGCCAGTGAATCATAGCGCTCACCTCAGCAAGATGAGCCAGAGATTTCTTTTTTTTTTTTTTTTTT